TATATTCAGCTCTAGGGCACAGTGTGCCCCTCTTTCTTGAGGGCCTGAACTCCATTCTCTTTGAATGTGTACTTTTAAAATTCTGTCTAATAAACCTCCTTATGCCTATTACTGGTGTGTCTTGAAAATTCAGAAGTCAGGTAACCTATAACAAGCTCTGTGGGTGGGGTAAGTGGAGATTACCTGTCTCCACTTGTGGAAACCTTCTCAGCTCCTGATGACAATCAAAGGGGATCCAGCTGTGTATGTGAGTCTGGAGTTCATGGCAGAGGTCTAGATATATAAATTTGAGAGTCGTCAAAATAAAGATACTTAAATTCATAAGACTAGATGAGATTATCAAGGTAATAAGTAAGAATAAAAACAGGAATCTTGGGTCCAGTATAGTGGCACATGCTTGTAATCCTAGATGCTCTGGAGGCTGAGATAGGAGAATGTCTCAGTTCACATCTTCCCTGAAGAACTTGGTAAGACCCTGTGTCAAAATGAAAATAAAATGGAGTAGGTATGTAGTTCAGTGCTCCCTCTATTAAAAACCCAGTTCAACACACACACACACACACACACACACACACACACACCAGAGAGAGAGAGAGAGGAGGAAAAGAGGAGGAAGAGAGGAGTCTAAATGCTGAGGAAGAACCTGCACTGAAAAAGCACTGTAAATCCTTCCACATACATTGGTCTATTTAATCCTCACAAATTCTGTGAAAAGTTGGTGAGATTGATCTCATTTTCAGATGAAGACACTGAGGTGCAGAGAAGAAAAGTATATTATACAAGTTCACTCAGCTAATAAATTCTAAAATAAAAATGTACCAATGATTAGAATGAATAATCGATAATGCAAAATAGGAAGAAAATGTCCAAAGGGGTAGGGGTAATTGGAGGGGCAGGGGAAAGGAAAGAAGGGAAAGGAAAAATGCTGAGAAATGGAAAAAATGGAAATAAAGTCTTTGTAAATAGGGAAGGGTGGAGGGGTGAAGGGAGGGCTAGGAATGAGGAAAAAATAAGAACCAAGATGCATCATGTAAAGGTACAAGTTCCCAATGAGAAATGTAATTGTGTTGTATACCTAAAGTGTACCAGTAAAAGAATTTAAGAAAAAAAAAGAATTTGAACGCAGATGATCTGTTCCTAGATCCCACAGCTCCTCCTCCATTGTGCTATCTTGCCTCTCTATTATAATGGATAGAATATCTATAGGCAGCAAGAATGCAGATAATAAAGCCAAGGAAAGTGGATCATGCCTTGAAGGAAATGTGTGTGTGTGTGTGTGTCTTTCCTTTTGGCTACATCACAGATGATATGAAGCGATATAGTGAAAGTATTAAGTCAGGAAAGGAAAATTTAAATCACTTCAAAGAAGGCATTGAATGTCATGCTAAGAAATATGAACTTTGGGTAGGGAATTTAGCTCAGTGGTTCTGTCACCTACCTCACAAGCACAAGGTCCCAAGTTTGATCTCCAGTATCAAAAAAAAAAAAAGAAAGAAAGAAAGAAAGAAAGAAAGAAATATGAACTTTACATGTGGTACACTTTTGGATATGTTTTGAGTTTGCTCCTGAGGGTTCATGTGTTGAAACCTAGATCTGTGGTGTGACAATGTTGAGAGGTGGTGTGGAACTTTTAGGAACTGAGGCCTTGTGGGAGTTAGGAAGTTCATTGTGGGTACTGACCTTGGAAGGATCCTGGATCTCTGATCTAGTTCTCATAAGATGGTTGTTATGAGTAAGATGAACCTGAATTGTTCTTTGGTTTCTTATCTCACTATGTCAGCTCTCCTCACACATGTACTCATCATGTGGCACAACCAAGGGGGCTCTCAACAAAACCAAACTGATGCCAGTGCCATGTGCATGAATTTCCAAAACTGTGAGCTAAATATACCTCATATTTTTGTGTGGTTGTAGGAATCAAACCCGAAATCTCATGCATTCGAAACATTTTACCACTGAGCAATACCTCTTGCCAAAGCCTCTTTCCTTTATAAAGCACTCAGTCTTGGGAATTTTGTTATAATAAGAGAAAAGAGACTAATATAATATGAAAGGGCTACTGTTAATTTTCTGGGAAAAGAAATTATATCTGGTAGTGGTATGTAAAATGATCTTTAGAAAAAATAAACATACAGGCAGAAAGACCAATTGGGAAATAGTCCTAATGTGGCTGAATATATAAAAGTATAAATGGAAAAGAAAGGATGGCTTACACGGTGCTGGTTAACCAACAAATATCTTTTAACACTGTTTATCTGGTCCTATGCTGTAAGGAAATGACAAAGAAACAATACTATATGAAATAGCCTTAATTTTGACATGTTTGTAATCCAGTTAGAAAGTGAAGACATAAGTTTGAGAATAATTAGCAAATGAAACATTTTTATATCTGGTGAGAGGAACTGATATAATAATCTAATTGTTGGCAAAGACAAATAATCACAAACTATATAATGAAAATGCAAATTGTCTGGCAAAGCCTTTTTTTTTTTTTTTTTGGTACCAGGGATCAAACTCTTGCCAGGTGTGGTGCCACTGAGCTACATCCCCTGCCCGGGAAAGCCTCTCTCTTAAAGAAGGTGGGAACTGGTAAAGACTGAAATCAAAGACCCCCAAAGATTTCCTTGACTTACTTCCTTTTTTTTTTTTTGATACAGGGTCTTACTCTCTCACTCTGTAATTGAGGCTGGCCTTCAACTCACTATGTAACCCAGGCTGGCCTTGAATTCATGACAATCCTCCTGCCTTGCCTCCTGAGTATTGGGATTACAAGCATGTGCCAACTATGCCCAGCTCCTTGATTGATAAGTGAAGTATGGGGCCAGGGATTTAGCTCAGGGGCACCGCGCTTTCCTTGCAAGTGCAAGGTCCTGAGTTCAATACCCTGTACCAAAAGAAAAAAAAGAAAAAAAAAGGTTAAGTATAGATTAAGAATAGCAGCTGAAGAGAGGATAGGGAGAAGTTAAAAAAAGATGAGGTTCTCAGGCAAGGAATTATAAGAGGTCATGAAATTTTAAAGCCTTGCCAATTGTACTGTTAGAAATAACTAAACCATTGACATATAAAAAAGAACAAGTATTAATTTTTTAATAATTTTGAGCTCATTTGAAAAGATTTTGAGAAATAAAGCAATTCAACTGAACAAAGAGTACTGGTCAAGGAACAGTGAAAGATAAAGATTAAATAATAGCTGGGTATAATCCCAGCTACTTGGGAGGCTAAAGCAAGAGGGTTTCAAGTTTCAGACCAGCCTGAGCAACTTAACAGAAAGATCCTGCTCCAAAATTTAAGACATTTCAAAACACTTAGTGTATAGCTCAGCCATTCCCTGGGTACAATTCTCAGTATGCAGGGAAAAGAAAGATTTAATACAATACTTCATAAAAAGTACAAAAAGGAAAATATATTTCAATCTAAATGCAAATATAAATCTCCTTTCAGATTTTGTTTAACACTTTTTGTAATTAGTAATTCAATTTTCATTCAAGAATGACCATTTTCAGCCCGGCATAGTGGCACACGCCTGTAATCCCAACACTTTCAGGAGGCTGAGGCAGGAGGATTGCTATGAATTTGAGGCCAGCCTGGGCTACATAGCGAGTTCAAGGCCAGCCCAAATTACAGAGCAAAACCCTGTCATCTCAAAAAAAAGAAAGAAAGAAAAAAGAATAACCTTTTTTTTTTTTTTTTGTACTGGGGATCTAACTCAGGATCTTGCAAGGCAGGCGCAGTGCCAGTGAGCTAAATCCCCACCCCTAAGAATAACCATTTTTAAAAAGCAGGTATGCTGGGGCTGAGGATTTAGTTCAGTTTTGTCATGTCTGCCTTGCAAGCGCAAGGTCCTGAGTTCGATCTCCACCACCAGGGGAAAAAAAAAAAGAAAAAGAAAAGAAATTCACTATTTAAATTGGGGGTTGTAGCTCAGTGGTAGAGCATTTACCTTGTATGAGTGAAGCCTTGGGTTCAGTCCACAGTACTACTATACAGATAAATAAATTCAGTAGTCAACAAAAACAGGCACTGGGCCTGGATTATTTCTCCTTAAAGCTCAGGAAATTGAGTCTTCAGATCCTTTCCACCTCCAATATTCTATGAATTTGTGCTTACAAATTACTAAAATCTAAGCAAACTGAGATAATCTCTACTGCTATTAATTGTTATTATTATTAACATTACTTCTATAAGAGAATGCCAAACTTCAGGACTCAGTTCAAGTTGGTGAGATCCCAGAAAATTTCAAAAAACTAATGACATTCTATCTGATATTTTATAATGAAAAGGGAAAAAAGAAAAACACTGGACTTTCTTACCCAAGTTTCTTTCTACATGATTATCTTTACAACTGACCCACTAGAAGGCCTATTTCTTAATAACCATGTTTCCTTTCTCACCAAAAACGTACGCCGAGAAAGCTCATCATCTCTTCAGGGAAAGGATCAAAACTGTGCTCAGCACAATGCCTTGTAATATTAAGTTCACTACCAAGCTACATACAACATCAAGCTAACACAGCGCCAAGCCCCTTCTATTTCATGTGGTACAATCTTCTACACAGTGTAAGGTTGTGTGCCGTGCAGCGCCATCTTTTGCCCTGCCATATATACCCACAAGTTGCTAAGCACCGCTAAATGGATGAGGCAGTTTGCGAAACTATAGTAATTCCTTCTACTTATGTACTGAGAGTCATCAGAAAATCAGGTCAAACTCGTGCTGAGTACAGACATTTCCTTGTGGCTATATTTTCCTGTCCCTTTAAATATTTTCCTCTACCCAAAGTTCCTTGACAGTCACGTGTCTGAAATAGCTTAACCAGCCAGTGAGGCTTTCCCTTTCTACAATTAGGCTCCTCCCCCATGTGCCGTTGGCTGCACCTGGCTTTCTAGTCACTAGAAGCCGCTGCACACTGCCGTAAGCCGTTTTGATTCTGTCAGGGAACGCGGTAGCTGAATCCTGCGGTTTAGGCTGCCTTTACCTTCCTGGTGGTATTGGCACTCGGAACCATGGAAGAAGCCTCCACTGCAGTGGTTCCTAGCTTTCTCGTCAAACTATGGGCAATAGTAGATAATACCGACTTGGACAACGTGATTCGCTGGAGCGAGGTAAAGGCCTACACAGGGAGAGGAGTGGGTGTTGAGAGGGATGTGGCCTCAGAAAGGTGTGGGAAGATGTGGGAAAATTTAGGGCTGGTGAAAGTAGGAGGCAGAGGACCTTTTCCTGACCCCACAATTCTTTGGCGCGCAAATTCAATTTCCTCTCAAGATAAGCCTCCGCTTATTAGTTTCTATATAGCTCCTATGAAAAGCTAGCCTCCTTTACTGCTTTTCTTCAGAACACACTAGCTAAATATACCTCACTCGGGATAGAAACTTGTCACCTTTTAGGGGTGTTTGTTTGTTTTGTAGTGCTTGGCACTCTCCGCCTCGCGCATTGTCAGGGAACTATGTTCCCGGACCTTTTAGCATCTGTCTCTTTGTCTTTGTCTGTCTGTGTGTCTGTACCCTCCTTCATAATTCAAGCTTTCATGCCAACTCTACCTAAATTGAGTAACTGAGTATCTTGGACTCTTTGAACAAGGCTAGCTTTTCTTATAGCATCTGAGAGAATTTAATTATGATGGACCTCATTTCTCTCCAGTTGTTCGGCTACAAAGACCTGGTAAGGTGGGTAGGGTATACAGGTTTGCATATTCTTCCATCAGGCAGTTTTATGCTTGTTCAGACAATGTAGGTTTAGATTTATTGGCGCCTCAGGTCAACCGGACTAGGGACTCATGGAACTGTGTAGATCTGTTAAAGGCAGACTGGGGCCAGTTCTCTACTTATTCATGTAAATTGAAGTAAAACTTTTTCTTTAACTTTGTATTATTGAAAAAAAAACCCACACAAATATAAAGCAATACAATAAACTCCCAAGTGCCATAGGCAACTTCAATAATCATCAACTCATGGCCCTGCTTGTTTTATACACAGCTCCCATTCTCACTCTAATTATTTTGGAACCAATACTTCATGTCATATCATTTAATTTTTAATTTCTTCATATATACAGGTAAAAGCAAAGAAATTCTGAGTTAAAATACTTAACACTGAAAGAAATGAGGGCCTGGGACTGGAGATTAAGCTCAGTGGTTTCGCCCCCTGCTGCGCAAGTGCAAGGACCCGAGTTCGAGCCCCAACACACACACACACACACACACACACACACACACACACACACACACCCCGCCAAAAAAAAAAGAAAAAGAAAAAGAAATGAGGGGCTGGAGTGCAGCTCAGTGGTAATGCGAGGCTCTGTGTTCCATCATCCACATTGCAAGAAAGAAAACTACTGCTTTGCCCTAGTAGGGTTAGTCCGTGGCAGAGTACTTCTGTAGTATGTGCACGGACCTGGACTCAAACCCCAGTGCTGTAAAGGAAACAAACAAACAATATATAGAGTTTGAAGGAAGGAATCGTTCTGAACATTACTTTGGGATTTTCATGACTGTGCATCTGCCTGAATGCCTTCAACCTAAGCATTTGTAAGGAAAGTGCTTGGTAAATAATGAAGCTGTATGTAGATATGTGGCATTTTTTATTGTAAAATACAGAGCAAATATATAGTTGCTTATATTTACTGAACATCGCTGAGATAAATATGAAAGTACTAGATTATTAGCCATAGTTTCACAAGAGGCTTGAAGTATAATTGAAAGGACGTGTAAGCATAAGCCTTCTAGATATGTTAAAGTTTTAGAAAATGTATATTTACCTAATGCAGCACTAATTTCCAGTGTATTTCATTCTTTCCTAGCCTCGTCTTTTTAAAAATCAACTATAGGGCCGCGGATTTAGCTCAGTGGTTCCAGCGCCAGCCACGCAAGAGCAAGGTCCCGAGTTTGAGCCCCAGTTTCCCGCCCCTCCCCCCGCAAAAAAAAATCAACGATTCCAATTTTTAAGGCTTAGCATATACATATTCATA